TATTTAATTAGGTCCCATCTGTCAGTGTTTGTTTTCATCAAAAATTGGGGTCTTCTGGGATACGGCGGTGGCTTTGTGTCTTGCTGCAGGCAGAATTCTGGCTCTTGTCTTTGCTGTTCTCTGTCCTCTGCTACTAGAGGCCCAGCCTCTTGTGGCCTTGTGACCTGCTGGTACTGGAGAACCACAGCTAAGATGTCAGGACCCCCTGGAAGCTTAGAAATGACTCTTGCTCTTTTGCCCAGGCTGGAGTGCAATGGTGCTATCTCAGCTCACTATAACCCCCATCTTCTGGGTTCAAGCCATTCTCCTGCCTCAGCCTCCAAGCAGCTGGATTATAGGTGCTATCTACCATGCCTGGCTACTTTTTGTATTTATAGTACAGACAGAGTTTCATGTTGGTTGGCTGGTCTTTAACTTCTGACCTCAGATGATCTGCCTGCCTCAGCCTCTCAAAGTGCTGGGATTGTAGGCATGAGCCACCGTGCCCCACCTCGTTTATAAATTAACTTTGGAATCAAAAAATAAACTCTACTGGATCATTAAAAAAAAAAAAAAATTGAGGTCTTCATCAAGTCTTTTCCCAGGCTTATGTCCAGAATGGCATTTCCTAGGTTTTCTTCTAGGGATTTAGTAGTTTTATACTTAAGTCTTTAATCCATCGAGTTAATTTTTGTATACTGTGAAGAACAGGGGTCCAGTTTCAATGTTCTGCCTATGGCTAATCATCTACGCCAGCACCATTTACTGAATGAACTTCTTACTTCATTGCTTGTCAGCTTTGTTGAGGATCAGATGATTGCAGGTATATGCCTTTATTTCTGGATTCTCTAAGCTATTCCATTGATCTGTGTGTCTGGTTTTGTACCAGTACCATCCTGTTTTAGTTACTGTAACCTTGTAGTATGGTTTGATGTTGGGTAGTGTGATGCTTCAAACTTTGCTCTTTTTGCTTAAGGATTATTTTTGCTATTTAGCTTGGGCTCTTCTGGCTCCAAATACATTTTAGAATGCTTTCTTCTAATTCTGTGAAAAATGTCATTGGTAGTTTGATAGATAGAGCATTAACTCTGTAAATTGCTTTGGGCAGTATTTTAATAATATCGATTCTTCCTATCCATGTTCGCGAAATATTTATAATTTGTGTTGTTTCTGATTTCTTTGAGCACTGCTTTGTAATTCTCATTGCAGAGATCGTTCACTTACCTGGTTAGCTGTATTCCTGTTTTATACTTTTTGCGGCTACTGTGAATGGGATCATGTTCTTGATTTGGCTCATAGCTTGGACATTACTGGTGTATAAATACGCAACTAATTTTTGCATATACATTTTGTATCCTGAAACTTTTTTGAAGTTGGGTATCAGATCTAGGAGCCTATGGGCAGAGACTACGGGTTTTCTAAGTATAGAATCATATCATCTACAAGAGAAACTGCCTTCCTCTCTTCCTATTTGTATATGCCTTTTCTTTCTTTATCTTGCCTGACTGCTCAGCTTAGGACTTCCAGTACTATGTTGAATAGAAGTGGTGAGAATGGTCATCCCTGTTGTGTTCCAGTTCTCAAGGGGAATGCTTCCAGCTTTTGTCCATTCAGTATTATGTTGGCTGTGGGTCCATCATAGATGGTTCTTATTGAAGTATGTTCTCTCGACATGTAATTTGTTGAGGGCTTTCAATATGAAGGGATGTTGAATTGTAATAAAAACCTTTCTGCATATAAAGAGATGATCATGGTCATGTGGTTTTTGTTTTTACTTCTGTGCATATGATGAATCACATTAATTGATTTGTGTATATTGAACCAAACTTGCAGTCCAACAGTAAAGCCTGCTTGATCATGGTGGATTAGCTTTTTGATGTGCAGATGGATCTGGTTTACTATTATTTTGTTGAGGATTTCTGCACCTATATTAACCAGGAATACTGGCCTCAAGTTTTCTTTTTTCATTGGTCTGTCAGGTTTTGGTATTAGAACGAAGCTGGCCTCATATAATCAGATAGGAGTCCCTCTGGATCTATGTTTTGAACAGTTTCAGTACAATTGGTAACAGCTCTTCTTTATAATCTGGTAGAATTCAACTATAAATCTGTCGGGTCCAGAGATTTTTTGATAGCTTTTAAATTCCTGATTCAATTTGGGAACTCACTATTGGTCTGTTCAGCATTGCAATTTCTTCTTAGGTTGGGCTCTTCTGGTTCCAAATAAATTTTAAATGTTTTCTTGGTTCAATCTTGGGTGGGTTATATCTTTCCAGCAATTTATCAATTTCTTCTAAGTTTTCTAGTTTGTGCCTGTAGGTGTTCATAGTAATCTCTGAGGGTTTTTTATATTTCTGTGGGGTTGGTGGTAATGTCACCTTTGTCATTTCTGATTATTTTCTTTAGATCTCCTTTTGCAAGGTGTGAAATTTTGTTGAAGACTTTTCCACACATTCATTACAATTGTGAAGTCTCTTCAGTATATATTCTCTAATGAATTATTAGAAAATGTTGTGTTTGAAGACCTTTTACATTTTTTTTTATTTGTAAATTTTTTTTTTTTTTTTTTTTTTGAGACGGAGTTTCGCTCTTGTTACCCAGGCTGGAGTGCAATGGCGTGATCTCGGCTCACCGCAACCTCCGCCTCCCGGGTTCAGGCAATTCTCCTGCCTCAGCCTCCTGAGTAGCTGGGATTACAGGCACGCACCACCATGCCCAGCTGATTTTTTGTAGTTTTAGTAGAGGCGGGGTTTCACCATGTTGACCAGGATGGTCTCGATCTCTTGACCTCGTGATCCACCCACCTCGGCCTCCCAAAGTGCTGGGATTACAGGCTTGAGCCACCGCGCCCGGCCCATTTGCAAATTTCTTTGCAGTATGGAATAACAGATGGGTAGCAAGGCTTGAGTGCACACTAAATTCTTTGACATATTTATTACATGTGTAGTTTCTATCCCATGTGAACCGTCCAATGTTGTGCTAGGTATGAAATGCGGGTGAAGGCCTTATCACACTCATTACATTTGTAAGGTTTCTCTCCCGTATGAGTTTTCCGATGTCGTGCAAGGTGTGCAATCCGATTGAAAACCTTGCCACACTCATTACATTTATAAGGTCTTTCACCAGTATGAATTCTCTGATGATTGGTTAAGGATAACTTGTGTCTGAATGCCTTGCTGCATTCATTACATTTGTAAGGCTTCTCTCCGGTGTGGATTACAAGATGGGCTGTAAGGCCCGAATACTCACTAAATGCTTTACCACATTCATTACATTTGTAAGGCTTCTCTCCGGTGTGAATTCTTCGATGTCGTGCAAGATTTGAAAGTTGATTAAATAGTTTTCCACATTCATTACATTTGTAAGGTTTCTCTCCCGTATGAATTCTCCAGTGTTGTGCTAGGTGTGAATTTTGAATAAAGACCTTACCACATTCGTTACATTTGTAAGGTTTTTCTCCAGTATGAATTTTCTGATGTCGTACAAGGAGTGCAATTCTATAGAAGGCCTTGCCACATTCATCACATTTGTAAGGCTTCTCTCCAGTATAAATTCTCCAATGATTTGCTAGAGATGACTTATGACTGAAGCCCTTACCACATTCATTACATTTGTAAGGTTTCTCTTCAGCATGAATTCTTTGATGCCGTGCAAGGTAAGAATTATTGCTGAAGACTTTACCACATTCATTACATTCATAAGGCTTCTCTCTGATATGAATTCTTTGATGTCGTGCAAAGTTTGAATTGTAACTAAAAACTTTGCCACAGTCATTACATTTATAAGGCTTCTCTCCAGTATGAATTCTCCAATGCTCTGCAAGGTGTGAATTACGACTAAAGACCTTGCCACATTCATTACATTTGTAAGGTTTCTCTGTGGTATGGATTACTTGATGGTTAGTCAGGCTGGAAGACAGTCTAAAGACTTTGCTATGCTCATTGCATTCATAAGGTTTTTCACTAATGTGTACTTTCTGTTCTTGCAGGAGTAATGAAGAATCATCAAAATCATTCCTATTAAAAACAGGGGTTTTGACACTGGAAGAAATTTCTTGAAGAGATGAAACAGAGGAACTGTGGTTGATAAAGTTTTCAACTTGATTACATCCATTTACTACCCTTTCATCTGGAAATAGCTCCAGTTCGGACAGATGTAAGTGAAAGGATACTCCAAGCTGTGTTTTAATTTGTTTGTTTTCTGCGTTGCCTCCCAGTGCACAGCTGCTCCCTAAAAAAACAAGAAAAGAGTGAAATTCAGATCCATAATTCTGGCATGTTTAGAGTCTGATGAAAAAAACTAGAATCTGCCTCATCTGACTCAAACACTGTAAGAAATATCAGCATACTTTGTACATCACATTGGCAGTGCCGAAAACAGAAAAGGGTACAGCTGCTCCCTATAAAAACAAGAAAAGAGTGAAATTCAGATCC